TCTGTGATTTCAAGACCAGCCTGGTCTCCATAGTGAGTTCCAGGACAGCTGGGGCTACAGGGAGACCCTGTCTCAAAAAAGACCGCCCCCCCCAAAAAATAAATAAAAAATAAAGGGGGACACGACAGTGAAAGATGTGTTTCCCTAAAGAAGGGCAAAAACAAGCGCTGAAGCTGTCCAGAAAGAGGAGTGACAGGCAGAGGGGCTGAAAAGCTAGAGAAGCAGTGTGGGCTGGAGAGGAGGGGGGAGGGAGGAGGGGGAAGGTGGGAAGAGGAAGCAGGGAGGAGGGAGGCAGAAACAGGAAGCAGTGTGAGAGGGGTCAGAGTTGTGAAGCGTGCTTTGGGTCTACTGTCTGGAGCAGGGTGATGTCATCTGAGGGCAACTTACATGGTGCTAAGAAAGCGACAAAATGGGCCCAAACAACTAGAAGAGGCTGCTATCAGTCATGACTGGGGAGCACAGGAACCCAGTTCTAGACTCATCACATCAGGTCCCTATTAGGTACAGAATTGGGTAAAGAGTCCCTTCAAAACTCAAGTCCACCCAGAATCTGTAAATGTTCCTTGTCTAGAAATAGGATCTCTCCAGATATACCAGGGTTAAAATGGGGACCTACTGCCCAGGGGAAGGACAGCCACAGAAGGTGAAGGAGAGTGGGGTTACACCAACACAGCTAAGGGACCCAAGGATGGCCAGCAACTCCTGGAGCTGGGAAAGGAGGGAGGACCCTTCCCCAGAGCCTTCCCTTCCCAAAGACCAAACCCTGGGCCACACCTGATTTTTTTTTAATTAATTTAACATTTATTTATTTTGGTCCTTTTGGCCCTGTAGCCCCAACTGGCCTGGAACTTGCTATGTAGACCACACTGGCCTCAAATTCACAGAGATCCACCCGTCTCTGCCTCCCACCCATCTCTGCCTCTCAAGTGCTGGGATTAAAGGCATACGCTACCACACTGGGCCGCACCTGGATTTTTAATTCTACTTCCAGAACTGTGAGAAAGCACACTTCCGTTGTTGTGAACTGCCCAGGTGGTGACACTGTTACAGCGGCCCTAGGACACTGCTCCCCAGACCTGTCACAGTCAAAGGAAAAATCAGGAAAATGTATGAAGAGAACACATCAACTTGGCAGTTTAGGGGCTGGAGAGGTGACTCAGTGGGTAAGAGTGCTTGCTATGCCAGCATGAGGTCCTGAGTTCAAATCCCTAACACCCATGTAAAAAAGCCAGATGTAGCCACTTGTGTCCCTAACTCCAACATTGGGGGTGGGGTGGAAACAGGACTGTTGGGCTCACTGGCCAGCGATTCTGTCCCCAAACTGATGCACTCCAGCTTGAATGAGAGCCCCTGAACACACACACCTGCACACACAGAAAGAGCAGCTTAACACATGAGTGCTTTCCCTGGTTCTCTTTTGTTCCATGAGCACAGGTGGATTGTTCTGCTTCTGTTATTCAATTTCTTTAAAACCAAGGGACCTAGAAACCACACCCAAGGTCAAACCCCCTTTAAATCTGCAGTCTTCCCAAGTGTTGCCCAGCACCAGCACCGTCAGGTGTATGTGAACACCATATCTACCTAGGCTCTATCCACACACAGCTGTTCCTGTTATGTCTACCTTGACACTGGGGTGTACCATCTTAAACACAGGAGGACAGACTATGCTAAGTCACAAAAGACAAGACACACTGCATGGGACTTCAACACACTCCTGGGACCCAGGGAGAAATCCTTCCTCACTTCTCACTGTTGGTCCTGTTGGAACCGTTTGTTTCCTGTCACTGCTGCAATGGTCTTAAACAATACCCATTGATGACCTCACAGTTTCCCATCTGAGCCGGGCCAAGCCAGCCAGTTCTCTGGTCAGTTTAACAAGGCCAAAGTCAGGTGTTGGCAGGGCTACAAGCCAAAGTTCACTCAAGCTGCTGGCACAACTCAGTCCATGTGGCTGGAAGACGTCTGGGGCCACCCTCTGCTTCCAGGGGCTGCCGGAGTCAGCTCCCTGCCCCTTTCAACTTTCAAAGGGCAGGTGCAGCCCTCCCTTGGTGAACCTTCTGACTGCCGACCTGCCTTCACAGTGCCTACTTGCTTGATCCAAATCCTCCCCCTCTCTCAAAGTCCGCTGACCAGTGACCTTAACTACCCTCTGCAGTCCTAGGGAGTGTTTGGATAACCCAGGCCCTCTGCACTCCCAAGGAAGGCATCTTCTGCATTCTGCCTCCCATATGGGCTCCAAACGTATCTATAGTAACGCGACACTTCCATGACACAGCTTTGGAAAAAAAAAAAATGGTTATTTAGGTTTCATTACTGCAAACTAACTGACAATATGGTTAAAATAATGGTTGAGGCTGTTAGGGCAGAAAATGGGGAATAAACTCTTTTAATGCAAACACCCTTAGGAAATGTAAGTCAGGGTTGGAGCAGCCTGAACTTAATTCCCTATCCCAGGCCTTAAGACAAGTGAAGTGAGATACTTCTCGTATAGAAATGGGTGGAAAACCGGGCAGCAAGGCAGATCAGGATAACAAGGGTTTGCTAGTCTGAACCCCTCCCAAGAGGAGACAGGGACTGGACACCCGACCCTCTTGGACCCTTCCCCCATCATACCACCCTCAGCTCCTGAGGGCCTCCCTCTTCCCACAGTCTCCACAAGTCTCCACTAAATATACAAATTCAGTGCCTACTTCAGGAGGCCCTGGATGCTGACACTATTTGAACATTTGTTACCCGTCTGTATCTGGGAAACCAGATTGCTCCAGCCAAACATCAACTCTAACCCGGGAAAGAGGGCTGTGTGGTCCAAGGGCTCTTTTAAATGGGTCCTTATCCTTTCTCCCAAAGCCTCCTCCACCCCATGACCACCTTTCTGAGACTACCCAGGGCTCCCCGGGGATCGACTGGCACTGGGCAGATGCACAGCTGCAGGGGCACGGAGACCAGTCATGGGCAAGAACCCGTAGCCACGGGCACCAGCCACGGCGCTGCTGAGCCCGGGGTCCCCTAGGCCGCTGCACCCCTGGGCCGAGTGACAGGCGGCGCACCCTGCCCTGTGCCTGGGGAGAAGACACGGCTCGGACACCTCGCTGTGCGAAGGGACCCGGGGCGACGAGGACGAGGGTGGGGACGGAGGATGGGACAGGGGACCTGGACAGGGGCCAAGGGATGGGACAGGAGACCTGGACGGGGGACGGGACACAGGACGGGGACGGAGGACGGGGACAAGGGACGGGACACGGGGACCGGGACGGGGGACAAGGGGCGGGACACGGGGACCGGGACGCGGCGCCGGACTCACGCTTGTACTCGGCCATCAGCCTCTTGAGCGCCGTGCCCGCCATGCCCAGAAGACGCTCTCTCTTCCTCAGAGTCGCTCCAGCCGCCTCCCCGACTCCAGCTCTGCTTCCGGGTCGCGGCCGCAAGCCAAAGTGCTTCCGGGCGCAGCACGCATGCGCGGGCGACGTGGCGCGCTGACGTGAACTTGAGTCCGCCCCGCCCGCCATCTTCCCTCGCAGGGGTGCAGGGGTGCTGCGCTCTAACCCGCCTCCTCCTGATGGCTTGTTTAACTGGGGGTCGTTAAACGACGAGGGGCTGGAGAGATGGCTCAGCAGTCTCATCCCAGCACCCACATGGCGGCTAACAACCATCTGTAACTCCAGTTCCAGGGGATTCGACGCCCTCTTCTGACCTCCGTGGGCACTGCTCGGCACAGGTGCACTTACACACATGCAGACAATACACTCATACACGTGAAATAAAAATAAATTTAAAGGGCTGGAGAGATGGCTCAGCGGTTAAGAACACTGGCTGTTCTTGCAGAAGACCAGGTTCGAATCCCAGCACCCACATGGCAGCTAACAACAGTAACTCCAGTTCTAGGGGATCCGATGGCCTCTTCTATCCTCCGCGGGCATTGCACGACATGGGTGAACTTACCTACATGCAGGCTCTCATCTACATAAAATAGAAATAATAAATATTTTTAAAAAAAACCAAGAAGCTGGTGTGGTGGTCCATGCATTTAATCCCAGCATGGGGGAGGGCAGAGGCAAGCAGATCATTGTGAGTTCAAGGCCAGCTGAGGCTACAGAGAAACCCTGTCTCAAAAAGAACGGGGTTGGGGGGTGTAGTAACTTGCGTGAACTTCTACAAAAAGCAGCTGTTGGGTGTGAGAAATACAAAGCACTCAGTTCTAGCACATCAGATGCCGCGGCAGTCACGATTCCCAACAGCTCATGGTGGTGTGTTCTGGAGGCTGGGGAGCCTTTAGGAGATGGGGTGTGGCGGAGGAAGTGGGCCGCTGGGGAAGGGGGAACCTTGGGATTTAGAACCGACCTCAGCTTCTAGCCCTCTGCGCTTCCTGTTCGGCAAAGGTGTGCAAGTGGCTGTCTACACACTCCTGCTGCCTCGGAGCCACCATGCTTTCCACGGAGGTGAACAGCCAACATGAACCGCCCTTGTGGCATCTTATCAGGCAGTTATCAGAGCAACAAGAAATGTAACCAATACAGAAAAGTGGTACTGAGTAGTGGGCCTCTGTCGTGATAAACCTGTGCACTTCACAGCCCTTTCAGAACTGGCTTTCAGGAGGAACATGGAAGTGTTTGGAGCTGTGGGCTGGACTAGCCCTGGAATGGTGGGAGCAGAGCTAAGCAAGCGGTCCTGGTGAAGACTGCTTGTGAGGCTTCAGAAGGGAGCAAGGGCTCTATCAGAAACAGCAGGCACTCCCCTTGCATCCTGCCTGTTTATCTGCCTGAAAACCTGAGTTTTGAATTAAAAAGTAATAGGGTGAGTCATCTGGCAGAGGAAATGTGGCACGGTTATCCAGACAGTGAGAGCAGGCAGAAAGGGAAGCTGAGAGATGCAGAAAATGTAGTTTGGTGAGTAGATTGAACCTGGTTAAAGCCGCAGGCAGGACAGATTTGGACAAAGAGGTTGAGGTTGTTAAAAGAATGTAGTACCACAAAGAAGTCTAGGGGCTGGAGAGATGGCTCAGCAGTTAAGAGGAGTTTGGTTCCCAGCGTCAGCATGGTGGCTAATGACTGTTAACTCCAGTTCAAGGGAATCTGATGCCCTCTTCTGGCCTCTGTGGGCACTGTGGTGCCCTTACATGCAGGCAAAACATTCATACACATAAAAACAAATATATTTTTAAAAAGCCTTTAAAAGAGGGCTTGAGAACTGAGTGTGGTGGTACACGCCTTTAGTCCCAGCACTCGGGAGGCAGAGGCAGTCAGATCTCTGTGAGTTCGAGGCCAGCCTGGTCTACATGAGCTCCAGGCTTAGGGCACTGGCTGTTCTTGCAGAAGACCCAGGTTTGAATCCCAGCACCCACATGGTGGCTAACAACCACCAGTTCCAGTTCCAGGGCATCTGATGCCCTCTTCTGTCCTCAGGCACTACAGGACACAGGTGCACTTACACATGCAGGCATAACACTCATACACATAAAAATAAATTTTTAAAATTGTTTTTTAAATCTTAAAGTCTGGGACCTAGGGAAGTATTTTCCTGGGTTCAGCCATGAACGTATGGTGGAGGGTTTAAACCATGGCCCAAGGGGAGACAGGCTACATCTCAAGTTGGCAGAATTTGGTGGCAGCATCTACAAGGTTATTTTGCAAGATGTAAGTAGTCATGGAGGTTTGTGCCAAGATTCCAGAAAGCCACCAAAGCAAGGCAACGAATGGCAGTATCAGATTCCCTGTAGGGAGACCCTGGAGGGCCAGTGTGAAGTTGAGGAAGCATATCATCATAGACATGCAGGACACTGGAGGTGGGATGTTCACTGGAGGAAAGCTGCAGGCAAATGGAACCAGCCCAAGACAGAGGCCACAGCACCATGGGCAACAGAGCTGTGGAGTGGGACCAGCCAAGGCTGCTGGAGCCCAGCTGGTAGACCAAGAGCCCCTCACACCAGATACAGAGCTGCCGGAGTTGATGTTCATCGTGCTGGATTGCACTGATTGTGCTGTGCCCCAATTCCTCCCTCTTTGAATGGGCATATTTAACCTGAGCTGTGTTAGAAGTAACGTTTATTTTACAGGACTCACAGTTGAGCTTTTTGTTGAGTCTCAGAACAGACCTTGAACTTAGACTTTAAACCATGTTGGGTTGTGTGACGATTTGGAATGAGAAGGTCCCTCATGGGCTCCAAGTATGTGAACACTTTGTCCGCAGTTGGTGGTGGTTTTGGGAGGTTCAGGAGGTGTGGCCTTGCTACAGGAAGCATGTCACTAGGCATGGGCTTTGAGAGCTCACAGTCATGTCCCACTTCCAATTTCTGTCTCTCTGCTTCCTGTGCCTGCTTGAAGATATGAGTGTTCGGCTTCTGCTCCAACTGCCTCCTGCCATACCTCCCCGTCATGGTGGACTCGTAATCCGCTGGAAATGTAACCCCCGTCCTTTTATAAGTCACCTTGGTCACGGCATTTTTAATCACAACAACAGAAATGTAACTAGTCCAAGATGTTAAGACTGGAGAATCTCAGAGATAGGCTTAAATGCATTTTGTATTATGAGATGAACATGTGACTTTAAGGGGCTGGGTGGAATGTTTCCAAAGTGATGTGTATGGGTGTCAAGCTGACAAAGAATGGGCTTGTAACAGTTAATTCTGTCAGCGTGACTGGATTGAGACACCTTGAGCACTAATGAAGCACATCTTTGGGTACCATGAGGTTCCACACTATTCCAAGGGCTGGGGGCTGAGCACAGCACTCATGCCTTCCTGCTTCCCAGTTCACTCAGATAAAGCAGCCCTCTTTAGGGGCTCTTCTGCTGGACTCTGACCATGCCCTCCTCCTTGCCATCGTGGGGACCTGGCAGATAGCTCTGTGTCTGCACTGTGCTTTTTTAACCCACATACTTCTACTGTGGATGAATGAAGTGCTTGGTGTTACTCTGTGCTCAATTAACAGACTGACAAAACAGCTTGGTCAGTGACAACCCGATTTTGTCCTCTAAGTACTGAAACTTCTCACAGCCTATTAGTGTCAGTTCATTTTCAAAGCAGACTAGCGACTGTCAGCTGCACAAGGAGTCTATTCAAGCATCAAAAAGAGGAGACATCTCCAGACTAACACCCTGCTTCCAAATCCACCTTGTCTTTACACAGGAGACCTGGGGGAGGGGGTGAAGTCGCATCATGGGCAGGCAGGCGGCACTGTTCTGTAAAGGCAAGGGCACCCTAGGCAGGAGCAGAATGGACCAGCATAGTGCACGTGCTACAGAGCAAGCTGTCAGACAGGGCCTAAGCCTCCAGCAGCTGCTTCTGCATCAGTTTCTCTGGCCTGGCTGGCTGACTTGTCAGTAGTAGTGAGTTGTGACATATGGCCAGCCTCCAAATGCAGTGTTTAACATAAGCCAAGAGACAGAATACCAAACTATATTTACTGTTTACAGTAGTAAAGGACAACAAATAATGTACAAACTGGTGAATAAACACAACAGAGCCAACAGACACCCCACCGGAGCCCACAGCAAAACAGGAAACAAGAACATTTTCCTTGGGATTTTAAGCAAGCAAGAGATGACAGGTCAGGGTCAGGTGACTATAAAAGGCAGAGATGGCATCAAGCAGCAGTGGGTCCTCACACAAGGGTAAGGGCAGAGCTATGAGCACTTTTACAGTTTAGATCCCAAACTGCAGAACTGAAGTCACTGCACTGACACATAATTTCGATGCACACGTGGAAAGCAGCAGAGCTCAAGTCCGTGAGGACAGTCGCCTTTCCCTGGGATTCTTTTGCAGCCCCACTCTGAAGCAGGTCTTTACAGAATGCCACTGTAAACTTGATTCTTACTTTTTTATGTAGAGACCACAATTATTCATCAGAACCAAATACTACAGGAAATCTGAGTCCACACTCAGTTTCCAAATCAGATGCACGGCATTACCTTTCTTCTACATTACAAAAAGGGAAGAGAGTGGATCTTGTGCCAACCTTACCCATGTACCCATTACCAGGTACCAAGTAGAAGGTGACATCTGGCCTTGGCCCGGGGGTGTGCACAGGAGCAGGAGCACGTGGGCCACGATCCCAAAGGACCCCTCACTGTTTTTACCGTAAGAAGTATCAGTGTTTTCCCTTAACTTTACCATATGCTTGACAAAGCTAAATTTATAGTTCTTCACATCTTAGCATTCTATGCCTACAACAAATAATGAGTGAAATCCACCTCCCCCTCAATCCCACAGGCATGCCCACCGGGTAATGTGACCACAAGCTCTGCCAGCCAAGCTCTGCCAGCTCTCTACCTGATTAGGACAAGTCACACCAGAGGTGACCGTAGTTCTAAGGGTTCGATAAGTCTGGCCACAGGCCGAGAGCAACATCTGGCCCCAAGGTTCTGGGGAAAAAAAAAACATTTTCGGGGTGTGAGGAAACAGAAATGAAAACAAAAGGAACTCCAAACCTCACAACTCATCTCACCTACACCAAGCACTCCGGTTGGCTGAGTTAAGCTGCACCCTCATCCCTACAGTACAATCTGAAGTTCCCACCAAGTGCATCGGAGAAGGAGAATTGCTCAGTGATTCCGCTGACTTCTGTGACAGGTGTGGCTGCATGTTCACCATTCAACAGCAAATGTTGGGACAGCCACCAGGTGTGGGGATGGTCCCTCGGGATGACGTTCCTCCTGTTTGCTGCTGGAACACGTCAATGGTGTCTTCATCCTCCATCTCCAGCTACCATAGTCCCACGGCAGCCCAGGGAGAAGGGACAAGAAATGTCAGAGAAAGGGAATCCACAGGGATACCTGCTGCCAATGGCTCCCCTATACTACCATGGCCGTAGTGAAGCAAGTAGGGAAAAGCGGGTCACTGGGGTCTCAGTGACAACCTACCATCTAACGTCTCCTGACAAGACTCACAGAAGTTAGTCACAGCTAAGAGCTTTAATAGAGAGGAAAAACAGTCATTAAAGACAGACTCATGGGGCTGGAGAGATGCTGGGGGGTTAAAACCACTAGCACGGACCCAGGTTTGAGTCCTAGCACCCACATGGAAGCTAAGAGCCTTCCTTAACTCCAGCTCCAAGGGACCTATTGCCCTCTTCTGGCCTCCACGAGCATTGCATGCACAGGTGCACGGTGCGCACATGCAGGTAAAATGCACTCGGGCTAGTGACGCACACCTTTAATCCCAGCACTCAGGAGGCAGAGGCAGGTGGATCTCTGCAAGTTCAAGGCCAGCCTGGTCTACATAGTGAGTTCCAGGACAGCTGGGGCTACAGGGAGACCCTGTCTCAAAAAGACAAAAAAAAAAAAATTAATGATCTTTGTGAGTTTAAGGCCAGCCTGGAATACATAGCGAATTCCCCAGGACAGCGGGCTACAGGGAGACCCTGTCTCAAAAAGACAAAAAAAAAAAAATTAATAAAAAAAAAATTTAATACATTTAGTTATTGGGGGGGGGGCCACACACATGCCACAAAGTATACTTGGAGATCAGATCAGCAGGAGATTCCAGGGACTGGATTCGAATTCAGGCCATCAGGTTTAGCAGCAAAGCATCCTAACCCACCAGTCATAGCTAGGGGTTGTGGCCTGCTGAGCCAAAGAGCTCCCCCATCCCCAGGCAGCTCCTCCTGCTGCTTTCCACCCACCTCCCAGCTCCCGGCAGGAGCCCTAGCACCCTACTTGGTACCCCACTGTGCCCTTCCCTTGGAGGCCTCCCAGAGCCTACCACTCTGTCCTAATGGTGTATAAAGTGGCCAGAAATTCATTTTTATTGAAAAACTACTTTTGGTATCTGAGGAGAAAAACAACTATTTTTGATATTTAAGGTATTAAACATTCTTACAGACTATTTTCACATAAAACACCTTGTGATTCTGTCTTGTAAGGGAGATAAAAGAAGTATCTCCATTTATCAACCAGACAAAACCGAGACAAGGTGACTAGGATCACAGAGCCAACAAGTGATAAATGATGAGAGCTGCCCCGCGGAACAAGTTCAAAAACTCTCCAGGGGCTGGAGAGACAACTCAGTGGTTAAGAGCACTGACTGCTCTCGCAGGACCCAGGTTCAGTTCCCAGCACCCACATGGTGGTTCATAACTATCTGGAACTCCAGCTCCAGGGGATCTAAGGTCCTCTTCTGGCCTCTGTGATATGTTTACTTACATGAGTGCAGGCCAGACACTCATACATATAAAAACAAATTTTTAAAAAGAACCAGTTCCAAACCAGCAGCTCTCTACATGCAGTGTGATACACTGTACCCCAAGGTGTGAAATCCCACATGTGACAGGAACATGCTTAAGACAAACTAAAAAGACTGGATGAAATAAGGCGTGGACAGACAGCCTTTCCACCCTATGGCATCTGGGTAAATGCTTACAGGGCACAAGAATGGAGCCTGTCACCCAGCTACCCTGCCTAAAACCACAGAGTAGAGTATGGAGAACCAGCAGAAAGGCAAACTCCTGGGCAGTCTTCAGTAGGCGGACTGGCACCCTGGGAGTATAGGTCCCACACATGGACTCCATCTCCAGACAGCAAAGACAGATCTGATGGCGCCATTTCACTGGGAAAGGACAGCCGCAAAAATCTCAAAGTCTGATACTAAAATCCTTAAGGGAGCATAAGGCATCCTTGTGCACGCCTTGGTATTTCTCAAATACGAGTACTCCGAACGACACACTTTGGATGCCCAGCAGCAAGAGTGCAGAGTCGCTTCATACCTGGGCCGGAGTGTCTGTTTCGTTGATTGGTTGCCCATCAAACCTGAATCGAATCTGCCTCATGGACAAGCCCTGGAAGAAAGGAGGGCAAAGCATTAGCTATCGCCTCAAGATGCCAAGAGCTGGCTTCAGTTCTGGCATGTGGCATCCACACAGCGACCTCCAGTAGGACTCCTAGGGGCCTATAATCTGCATCGTGTGCTGCCCCAAATGAAGACATTCAGAAATCCCGGCCTCACTGCTACCCTGGCCTGCCCCTGGCCTGCCCGACTTCCCGCTGAACACAACTGCTTGCTATGCTGCTACCCCCACCCCTGCCCCCAAAGTTCCCAGAGAGGAAAGCTACAGTCAGGATGCTGCATGAAGCTCAGCAGGGAAGAGGAACCACCGCCATCCCAGGTGGGCAGCAGTCTGCCCGCTCCTGTCTTGAGGGACAGGTGAACAGTGTGGAACAGAAACACCTCTTTAACTGGCAGCTCTGCCGTCCCTGAAACAGGACAGAAAGGAAACTACCTACTTTCCTCCCTCAAGAAGCCTCCCTGAAATGACACGGATGAAAAGACACAACCCCAAGAAGAAGAGCCAGCAGGAGGCCTGTTGCTGCTGGTGGGAGGCTGAAGCCACAGACGCTGCTGGCAGTAAGGACGCTGGGGTCTTGGGTATGCTGGGGCGGGATGTCTCAGAGCCCCAGGAGTGACAGGACCAGAAATACCTGGGCCAATAAGGCTGATGAACTTTTTGAAAGGTCACATGCAGACACTCAAAGTGTCAAAGTCCACCACAATCCTCCAAGGCCAAGGACCTCTGCCTCCCACAAAAATAAGCAGGCTATCCACCTTATGGAGACATGGACACAGAGCTGTGACTCAGGTCACGTGAACAAGTCAGTGGCCAGGACAGGCAGGTATAAGGTCGCGTCCCAGAAGCCCCATTAGCTCTTCACGTGCTCCGAGACTCTGGGTGGAGCTGGGACGCATTTCCCTCCCACAGAACTTGGTGCTCCTCTGATCAGTCCCTCCAGAGCTCCCTCCCAGCAGATCACCCTGTGGATACAAAGCCTCTGCTACACTCATCCAGGCACTTTTCTTTCCATCAGTGGATCACCTCTTCACTCTGAAATACAAGCAGAAACTAGAGACCATTTAAGACAAGATTCAAATACATGAGATCAGACCAAAGGAAGGACCTCGAAGAGGCAGAGAAAAGGGGACCACAGCTAAAACACACTCACTGAAAGCTTTCAAGGAGCTAAAAACAGATACATGCCGGGCGTGGTGGCGCACGCCTTTAATCCTAGCACTCCGAGACAGAGGTAGGCGGATCTCTGTGCGTTCAAGGTCAGCCTGGTCTCTGTTAGCAAATCCAGGCCAGGTGCATTACAGGGAGACCTTGTCTCAAAAAGACCAAAAAATCCAGGCATGGTGGCACACGCCTTTAATCCCAGCACTCAGGAGGCAGAGGCAGGCGGATCTCTGTGAGTTCCAGGCCAGCCTGGTCTACATAGGACAGCTGGGGCTACAGGGAGACCCTGTCTCAAAAAGACAAAAAAAAAAAAAATGGGTACACAATACAAAATGCTCTCAAATATATATATAGGGCTGGAGAGATGGAGAGATGGTTCAACAGTTAAAACAGTTAAGAGCACTGACTGCTCTTGCAACATGGCAGCTAATAGTCTGTAACTCAACTCCAGTTCCAGGAGATCTGATGTCCTTCTTCTGACCTCCAAGGACATTGCATGACACAGGAGCACTTACACACATAAAAGAAAAATTATATTTATATATAAAAGTTACTACTGGGGGGGCTGGAGAGATGGCTCAGTGGTTAAGAACACTGGTTGTTCTTGCAGAAGACCCGGGTTCAAATCCCAGCACCCACATGGCAGCTGTCCATAACTCCAGTCCCAGGGGATCTGACAGCCTCTTCTGACCTCCGAGGGCATTGCATGACACGCATGCACTTACCTACATGCAGGCAGCACATGCATACACATAAAATAATAAAAATTTTTTTAGAAGTTACTACTGGGAAAGAAACAAAACGGAACAGGACAAAGAACTTCTAGAAACTAAAAATTGCTGGGCGTGGTGGCACATGCCTTTAATCCCAGCACTTGAGAGGCAGAGGCAGACAAGAGCTCTATCTGTTTAAGGCCAGCCTGGTCTACATAGTGAGTTCCAGGCCAGACCCTGTCCCAAAAACACCAAAAAAAAAAAAAAAAAGAAAAAGAAATTGAAAGTCATGAAATGGCTATAAAGTAGGAAGATAAAGTTGGGAGAAACTCCCAGAAGACAGCAACAGGAGAGTTCAATGCAAACAGGAGGAAAAGAAGCAGAAAGAGACGGAAAGAGAACAGGACTGCAGGAGGGCTGCAGACTCTAGACAGGGAACGGGGGCTCCAGACAGACACAGGACCAGCAGAGCTACATTTCCCAAACTACAAGTTGATAGATGGAGAAGCCCAGGAAGCACCTTGCCAGAGAAAGAAGACAGTTACTGTCCAGAGTCCCTGGGGGTCCCACCCCAGAAGTCGGTGCCACAACCCGCAGGGTAGAGATGCGTCACTGACATTTCCTGAAACACAGCAAGCCGACAGAAAATGACAACTTCCAAAGAAGCGCACCACGACTGAAAGGTGCCAACAGCCAGAGAGCCAAGCATCAAGTCCCTACAGAGTACACAAGCTTCCTACGAGATGTAAGAGACGATGCTCCATGGAAAAGGGGGAACTAACAGGGGAAATATGCAAGAGGCAAGGGAAGTTTCCAGAATGATTCTCACACAACATTGTGGGATGATGGCTTTGCAGCCAGCCTCTCCTTCAAGCCAAGATCCAGGTGGAGGACCAGCAGGAAGCGCCAGAACATAGAGATGGATGATAGTGTCCCCCATGTGGGGATTCTCCACATGGAGAAGACAGGTGAGCACCAGAAACAGACACAGACACAGCAGACTGAGCAAAGACACGGGCAAGGAATGAGCCCGGCACATGTCAGCACACGAGCTGACCCAGAGGAGGGCACAGGGCCACAGCATGGACAGCAGCATCAGAACATTCCATCTCACCATCCATACGCAAGACACCTGAAGGCAAAACAGAGAGAGAGAGAGGAACAAGCACACGATCCACACACAGGGAGGGAAGAAGCCCACCACCACCTTACAGAATGCTTATAATAAAGTCCAAAGGCAGGAACTGTGAAAGCCAGGACAGTAAAATAAAAGGATCGCAAACACCTGTGTTTGCCAGCGCTTAAGGAAATGCAGCCTTGGGGCTGGAGGGACGGCATAGCAGTTAAGAGCTGGCTGCTCCCTGCAGAGGACCATAGTTCAGTTCCCAGCACCTACATGGAGGCTAAAAGCAATCTATCACTCCAGTTCCAGGGACCGGATGCCCTCTTCTGGCCTCCATGGGCATTACACATACATGGTACATCTATAAACGTGAAGGCAAAACATTCATTCACAAAAAATTTTTTAAAATTGAGCTGGAGAGATGGCTCAGTGGTTAAGAACACTGGTTGGTCTTGCAGAAGACCCGGGTTCAAATCCCAGCACCCACATGGCAGCTAACAACTGTCTGTAACTCCAGTTCCAGGGGATCCGATGGCCTCTTCTGTCCTCCGCGGGCATTGCACAACATGGGTGCACTTTCCTACATGCAGACAATATACTCATACACATAAAATAAAGTATTAAAAAAAAAAATTTAGCTGGGCATGGTGGTGCACACCTTTAATCCCAGCACTCGGGAGGCAGAGGAAGGCGGATCTCTGTGAGTTCAAGGCCAGCCTGGTCTACATAGTGAATTCCAGGACAGCTGGGGCTACAGGGAGACACTGTCTCAAAATGACAAAAAAAAAAAAAAAAAAAAAAAAAAAAAAAAAGAATTAGAGAAAGGTAGACTCGCACAACCATGCTGAGATGCCAAAGCCCTCACAAAGGGGCAGAGCCCCCTCTAAGAACCACCAGATGGCAGGGTTTTTGGTCAAGACCTGGCACCACAAGCCTAGCCACAGCAAGTCAGGCAGCCACCATGGCAAGACCAGTAGTCCCAGGACCTTCAGGTGGGCTAGAGGGCACCCACCTGCCGAAACAAGGGTTCCACAGGTCCTTAATAGGAACGCAACAGATGGACAGACCACAGCATAACGTCTGCCCCATCAGTCCATGGTGACACTAACAATAACCAGCAGAAGCAACTAATCCAGCTAGTCACTGTTGGGAAATGCTGGTCAATGAGCTTGCTATTCCGAAATCTGGTAATAAAGGGACAAGATCAAGTGTTTTCATCCCTCTCCTGAACAAGATGGAAAATCAAACTGCCGACGAGGGCAGCATGTAACAGGTCTATTCCAGTGGAATTTGAATGCACCCTTTGTGACCACTAAGGAACTCACAGACCTAGGCACTGATCCTCCAATCTGTCCACACCAGAGGACATCACCAGACCAATGCGCTGGCCGATGGGAGGGCACCACCATTGTGACAGTGTCTGCCAGGACATCAAATTCCCACAGGGTCTGCTCAAGTCCAGATCCACCCAGCCACATGCAGGAACCCAGGGGCAAGATACACCATAATGAACATCCAGGGTACCAAGGCCCAGGGTTGTAAGGGCAAGCCTACGAAACAAGCAACCCCATCCTGGTCCTACAGGGAGGGAGGCCCAATCCTGCCTGGGGCTCCACCCCCAAGCAGCACACACCTGCCTCTCGCAGTAGGCCTTCATCAGCTTGCTCAGGGGAGTGTGCCTCTTGATCTTGAACTGCACCACTGAGCCATCCTGCCCTGCAACCTTCAGGTTGATGTGGTCATTCTCCGTCTTCACTCCCTCCTGTAAAACACAGAACACAGGAAACAGGCCTCAAAAGCCTGCTTAGAATCACTTAGAGTTTGAAGGGCAAGTCCTTACCTAAGGGTTACTGGTTTAAGTCATTAAAACAAACCTAATTCTTAAAATTCCTCAGCAATTCGGGGTTGCACATGTGACTGTCTTTATTTTTACACAGAATTTATTTTTAACCTACATTTGTTAAGCATTGTGTGAGAACTGCAGTGCAAAGCTAGCATCCTCACAGACCGCAGGTTCAAAGGCAAAAACTGGCTTCATAAGTCTGGGAAGAAACTAAAGAAAATCCATCTTTTTGCTTTAAAATTACTCAAAAGTAAAAACACGCATTTGCAGGTTACATACAGTTCCATATGACTGGTAAGAAGGCAACACAGCCAGGCTTGGTGGTGGACACCTTTAATCCCAGCACGAAGGAGGCAGAGGCAGTTGAATCTCTGAGTTCGAGACCAGCCTGGTATGCATAGCAATTTCCAGGCCATCTGGGGATACATAATGAGACCCTGCCTGAAAAAAAAAAAAAGCCAATAGAGAGTAAAAGTCAATCTTAGAGGGCCAGGAGGTTCCAGAGGGGAGTTCTCTGGAGTCAGCAAGGTGAGGGCTGCTGTCACCCTGAGACCTCCAGAGTCAGAGCTCGCACCTGGGTTCTATCCTCCATACTGGAAGAAAAACCCTATGGGAACAGCGGTGGTCTTTATACACTCCATGACTCATACAGTGCTGAACAAAGGCAAAGTCAGCATTTCTTGTTGCCTGGAAAAATTCTGAACAAAAGTTGTTAGGGGCCACAGAGTGAACTCTGGGACTGCTCAGTCTGAAAAGAAGTGAGGCCCACCTGCAGACCAAGTCTTCTCCCTGTGCTCATGTCCAGCTTTTTCCCACACAGCACTGAGGTGCTGATGCCCTTGGGAGTCCAGCTCCACAGAAGCAACTTTTATTCCCAGAGGGCAAGATAATGCCAGGAAGCTGGGGAGCAGGATGCAGAAGGCAAACTGCCCTGTGCTGAGTCCTAGAGGCTTTGGGAGGCAGCTCGTCAGAGAAATGGCCCCAGGTGAGAGGCTCAGGCAAGACCTGAGGAGCAGCGTGGAGCAGCACTCTCCCCCCCACAGAGTGGCCCAGCAGCCCTGCTCAGAGAGCTTGGCACCCTCTCCAAATGGTGGACTCCAGCACGGGACAGTCAAGGATGACTCCAGGCCCCAGGCAGACCCCTGTCCACAAGGTCCAACCCTCACTCCCCAAATTGCTAGGATGCACTGGGAGACACAGGTGCATTCAAAATAAACGGAGGCAGGACCCAGAATGTCAAGCCTGAGGCACACTTCTCGCTAGCTGCAGGACGGCTGGCCCATTGGAGGGGAGCTCTAACACGCAAGTGAGCTCAGGATTTAAGAAAAATGGACAATGACCTCACCGGTGTGGTCGTGAACGGCTGTAATCTCAGCAGGCCTACATACAGACAGGAGGGTCTTGAGGTCAAGGGCAGCCTGAGCTACACAGGGAGACCCTGTCTCAAACAAGGGCTGGGGGAGTGGGGGTGGCAGAGCATGTACAAGTCCCTGGGTTGAACCCCCAGCACTACAAAAAGCAAATAAAAATAAAACCCACTACGTGCACTAAGGCAGACGTTGTACTCTTTCCACCACTACAACAGGCATCACTTCCCGCAGGCAGCACCCAGGCTGAGCTGGAATCGAAGGTAACGTAAGGGGTGAATGCAGACTTCACAGCAGAGCCTCACGGCGATGTGGAGGGCTGCCCTGCTCCTGGGAGCTCTCATCTGAACCAGAATGCGCATCCCAGAACGCTAGTCTTCCACTGGCCCAAACCGCCCCAATACGGTGCAAACCCTGTTCAATGAGGAATACACAACCCTGGCCTTTCCACGCACCAGTATCCACGGGAGGCTGGGGAAGGCCGGCCGTGCGCGGGCACAAGTGCAGCTCTCCCGGACCCGCTCCCCGCGCGGGCCCACCCACCCCGCCCTGGAGGGAAGACCGCGCCCGGGGGTGAGGGCGGAGAGGGACCGGGACGCGCCGAGACGGGCCGGACGGCCAGGGCATCCAGGGACGGGCCCCTCCCAGGCCTGCTCTCGGGACTCCCGGGTTCCCGGGTCCCGGGCCGTGGGGCGGGGCTAGCCTCGGGGGCGGAGCCACACCCGGG